GCACGATTTCTGCTTATATTCAAATAATATAAATTTTTCATTTCCAGGAAACGATATTTTTCGTTTTGGAGAAGTCAACCAAAAATTTAACCAAACCAACTCATGAATATGTTTATTTTTTTCGATTAGTTTGGTCCACTTCCTTAAGAAAATAAGTCTTCCTACTAAGCTAAGCAAAGAGTCACTAAAGTGCCGCATTTCAATACGAAATCGAACCATAATTACGAATTTTTCATGGATTTTTTCGACAGACCATCAAAACAAACTAACAAATTTTCGGTATAATTTGCTGTATAGTTTCAGAGATCACAAAAAAAAAAGCAAATGTTTCTAAGAACTCATACTTATACATATCTTTTTTCCTTACGAGCAGAACCATTGCTATCCGAGTATATTAATATTTATTTATTAAATATGAAATGACCGCCACGAGTACTTTTTTCCTTGCGTAGCTTTACGTGCGTTAAAATAAATTAAAAAGTTTTAATTTTTTATAAATAAATAAAGCCACAAAAGCGACATGAGCGTGATGTAATGTCAGTCTGTGGCAAAAGCGATTATATTCACATACACGTATGCATAACATGCCTGCAATGCAATGTTGAACTAGTTATGAAAAGTATAGTTATGTACCAGTGTTGAAAAGGTGAAAACTTGCCAGCTTTTGGTGGGCATTATGGTGCACTTAATTGCTCAACTAATGAAGCAAATTTTAATTTTGAATTAGAAGAGACTGGATCGGTTGCAGATATTGTTAAGTCCTGTCTATCATCGCTTTGCTAGTGCCATCTCATTTATCGCTACTATAAGTGGAAGTTTTGTGTCAATTTCTCGACGTTCTCAAGTGCTGGGCCTTTATTCCATCGATATAAAGTCTCTCACTCGCTCCAATAATCGTCAAGTAATTCAAATATTTGAAGACGAAAAAATTATTGTCCGGTGCGCTCTTTGTTCTGGAGGTTTGATTGGTTCTTACTGCTTTGAAAACGACAACGGCGAGACTCTCACTGCAACTTCCGACAATTTATAGCTGTGATACCATCCAGCATGTGCCAAAAGTGGTCCAAAATTACCTCAAATGGATCGAAATTTGCAAAATCACATAAAAATATTGCCTAAGGCTCGAGCTTTGTAGTAGTTAAATATTAATGGCAATTGAAAGAAGCGGCACAAGAATTTCACTGATGGCTTTCATTTTCTTTTAGGACACGCCTGCGCAGCTCTGCTTTGCTGTAGAGCGCTCTTTTTCTCTGTCTACATAGTACTTTTGAGAGCATCAGATAAAATATTCAGTATAAATTTATGATCCAGTGTCGGAAGCCTAACAAATAAGTAACAGAATTTTAAAGCAAACTAAAACACAAAGCCCATGACTGGCACTGGGCTGTTGACTTGGCGTATGCTGGTTTTATTTCATGCATAGGACATGACGGCCGCTATATCAGAGTGGTTAGCACGGCGTACTGCCATTCGGAAGGCTCTGTTTCAAATCCTGGTGGTACTAACATCGGAAAAGTTATAGAAATTTAATTTAAATAAAATATTAAGCAAGGAATGTTCATGTATTTCTGACATGAAATAAAAGGCTCTTCATAAAAAATCATCAGCCGTTGGAAGGCGGCTTGGTATAAACTCTAGGTATCTCCATTTGTTGGGAAAACATCAAGACGCAAACCACAAATTGCGCCAAAGTGTCTAAGTGGATACCCAGGTATATAATTTCATCAACTTGACTATCAGCATTTGACCATCTGCCACACAATGTCAAATGCTTGCGCCACATCAAGAATAACCGTACAAAAATACTCATTGCATTCGAAAGTTTTCCTTATTTCATTAATTATGCGATTTACTTGTGAAATTGCGCCATGTTTATTCCCGGCAACCAAATTGATATGTAGGAGTTGTGAGTATATCATTCTCATTGCGAAAAGTAGTAGTTTTTGTTAGCAGCTTTACCTAGTTTAGCTATTTAATTATCATAAACTTTTCCCAGGATTGTGGATAATATCTCCTGGAGTCTCTTTTTAGGAACTAAGGCAGCAATAATATTTTTTAACTAAGTGCAGCAAGCAAGAATATGTCTTAGAGCAACGTGGTTCAGTTCGGTACCGTTCTGGTTCATAAACCGTTTTTTTTGCCAAGCTTTCATAGCGATAAAAAACTCTCCATAGTTTATTCTTCGTTTTGCCTTAATGCCACTTTTAACTATTGGGTTGCCCAAAAGAAGCTGGCAGGTTTTTAAAAAAAATTATATTTTATAATAAACTTTGATCAATTATGTGATTTCCATTTTGTTGGATGACCTTTCGCCATCTTTCTGAAGAAATCATTATTCCACGCTTAGAGTACTTCTGACCTTTATCTGCGAAATACTGAACCGAGTGCGATTTTTTAGGCTCGTTATTTTCGAAAGTTTTACTATTTAATGACTACTGCAAGGATCGAAACAAATGATAGCCTGACAGTTCCCAGCCAAGTACTCTCAGCTATTGGCGAGTGACCTGCGAGTGACCTGCGAGTGTCTGCGGTCTAGCATTGTCCTGACTCATTCTGGCCGAGTCTCGTTGATGAATGCATTCAAGTTGTCCAGTTGTTCACAGTAGACACCCGAATTAGTCGTTTGGTTCCTTAGAAGCAGCTCAAAATATATACCACACCCTTCCAATCCCACCCAACTGACAGCATAATCTTCTTTTAGTGAATAAGAGCCTATGAAGTGGTTTGTGGTACTTAAACATGCTTGTACCATGATTGTTTTTGATTGATTCATCTGCAGTTATGATTTGCTTATCACGAACGTTGAAGCGACTTGTTAAATAAATTTCCTTCAATTAATGTGGTACCTAAATATCAAGTTTTCTTACTAGTCAAAGACGTCGTATGTGATTATGAATGCTTGATCTTGGTAAACTTAACTTTTCACCAATCTCACGCTCAATTACTTGACGACCCGATTCGATTGAAGCCTTGATATCGTCAACACCAGTCAAGTTCATTTGGACGACCAGAACATGGCTTAGCTTTGAGTGAAGAATCTTCCTGTTAGAATTTGACAAACCTGCGCTTGGCGAAAATGATCTTTTCTGGGCTCCACATCAAAATTGACGCCAAGCAAACAGTCATAGACAAATTGACGCGTACTTTTTTTCTAAAGCAAGCTTAAAGTGACTGATTATGATTGTCAAAAGACAACAAAATTCAATTAAAAAAAATTTGCCGTCTATAGGAAATATCGCCGGTTTCTTTTGGGGCTACCCAACATTTTTACGGCAATCTTAAGTAGGCTTGCTCTTCTCGGCGGAAGCGCCACTCCTTTTCGCTGTTTGTCAAACTTTGTCCGGCCTTTAGCTGAGTTTCGAACTCTGTTAAATGCAAATACCTCGTTTTTTTGTCATATTTACTCTTCAGTACCCGATCGGTCTTTATATGATTGCTTAGGTATTATATTATATTATAGCCAGTTACTTCTAGATATCGTAAGACGAAAAGGAGACAAAGCATCCACCGGCTCTTCATTCAATTTTTGGAATTATTGAGAAGTGATTTGAAGATAAGTCTGTGGAGGTTTCAGCAAACATTAAATTCTTATCTACGTTTTTGATGACCTCAAATCAGGTCAAATCAGGTCAGGTAATTTTCTTGGTTCTGTAGACGAGTAAGTTGATTGTCTTGTGGAGATAAGATCAAATCTCAACTCATAACCGTATTATATAACTGGCGCACTTTTGAGTTTATCTGTGCTGATATGATGCTGATACATCCCCGGCTACTTTGTACTTATTTATTATAGCCTCGTGTTAAAATGACTTGGCAAACCAGTACTGGTTAAATGCAAACTAGTTTATTTTGAGTTCACTTCAGCTATGTAGGTTTTGCTTTGCAGGGATTGCATTTAAATATGCATACAAACATATAGAGTTTTGTGCGTGAGCAGCGCGTTTATTTGCTTGCTTGAAGGTTGCAATTCTATTTATGCACAGCCACGCAATTTGCAAAACCATACACACACATACACACACAAATGCACATGCTCGCTTTTATACCGTCAACAAACGTGTTGTTGTTAAATTAGTGCGACAGTTTAAATATAATTTTTAAACGCGCTTTATTGAAATTTCCACACTTTTACATGCACACACACACACACACGCATGCTTTTAGTTGTACTTATATGTATGCATTAAATAAATCCACCTTTGTATTACCCTCACTTGCCTAGGCATAAATATAACTAGAAGGTTAGCAGTGTCCTTGCGGTAGTTTATAAATATGTAAGGCAAGCAAAGAAAAAATAACAAGTTATACATACACGCATACATACATATACATACGGTTATTTAATTGTGGCATATGGGTGTAGCAAGTAAATACTGAGAGTCAGTCAGTCAGTCAGTCAGTTGAGGAGCAACACTTAACCCAAATACCACATGGGCTTTGTAATTGACATACATACATATGAGTATGTGCATATCTATTAAATTATCAGCAAAACTACGGCAGTGCACGCACCAAGTCATGCTCACGCATTTGTGCATCCTTCTTATGGGTATACATATACATATGTATGTATATAGAGTTTATACATTTCAGGGCGTATAATTGTTTGTGTTCCCCAATTAGAGCTTAAAGAAACAGTTTCATGAAGACACTGCAGAATTATAGGAAAAATTTCCTTAAAATTAATTTTTTTTTTTGTAATTCCATCTGGACAACGCCTGATGGAACACAATTCGGCCTCTGTTGCTCAAAGATGGTCTCTTCGAGAAAAACCTTCCAGTAAAAGGTTTTAGTTTCCAAACCAAATCCTACATATTTTATACCCCTATATCTCAAGTCTGACAGGTTACCGTAAAATAATGCCAATAAATATATTACGTAGTATGTTCTACCCCAAACAATAAAGTTTATGGTCACTAAATAAAGATTATATTTCTTATAGTCATTTAAAAGATAATTACTTAATTTACTCTAACCTACTTCTTTCTCTTTCATTGCAGATCGTTAATGAATACACCGATTGGGATCGCACCTCACAACATCCGATCAACACACGCGACACCGCCGTCGCTGCGCTGTCAGATGCACAATTCGTAGCGCCCATTATACGCACCGGTGATCAGCTTGCTGCCAACTCACCGCCACCAATATCAAGTAGTAGTAGTAGTGGTGGTGGCGGTGGTACCAATGGTGGTACAGCTTCAGCATCAACCGCTTCGGGCGCACAGTCCGGACGATGTTACTTCTATGTCTTTGACTATCAAACGAAAGATGGTGATTACCCGCAGCGCATGGGCACAGTACACGGTGAAGATTTGCCATACATCTTCGGGGCACCATTGGTGGATGGTTTCAGTCACTTTCCACAAAACTACACAAAATCGGAAATTGCACTCTCCGAGGCAGTGATAATATTTTGGACGAATTTCGCACGAACAGGGTAAGTGGTTTCAGTGGAAGATAATATTAATAATTATATATACATATATATTTAGGAGGCCGCAGTGGCCGTGTGGTTAGCATTGCGTACTGCCATTCGCAAGGCTCGGGTTCGAATCCCCGTGCGACCAACATCCAAAAGTTATGAAAAATTAATTTAAACAAAAAATGAAGCTAAATATTCTAATTGCGGTCGTGCCTAGACAGGGAATGCCCAACCCTCCGAGTGTATTTCGGACATGAAATAAAGGTTCCTCGTAGAAAAACCATCAGCCGTTCGGAGGCGGCTTGGTATGAACTGTAGGTATCTTCATTTGTTGGAAAAACATCAAGGCACAATACCACAAATCAGAAGAGGTGCTCACCAAACCGCCAATATTAGCGAACCTGTAGCTTAGCTATTGTCACTTTTGGTTTGGATACCAATTGTGAAGGCTCACTAACCTTCGACCACGACCATTTTCATTTGATGTTGCTGTAAGTGATTCATTTCAAGGCTTCTGTCATTACCTTTTTTCGTTCAAAATATAATATTTCAAACGCCATCTAAAGTAGTCCAACAGCGCTTACAGAAAGCGTGATACTGATCACAAAAAAAGAAAAGGAGGTGTGGTTTCCACATGGCGGCGCTACTTACCACACGACCAACGTTGCAACCCACTACCCTTTCCAAATAAATCGGACCTTATCCGTGTGGTCTTAGACCTGGTAAATCAACAACTGATCAGATATTCAGTATGCTCCTAGTCTTAGAAAGGATCCGTGAAAAGACGATCGATACACACCAGCTGTTCGTCGATTTTAAAGCCGCTTTCGGCAGGAATAGGAGCTGCGTTTACGCCGCTAAGTCTGAATTCGGTGGTATCTCCGCAAAACTTATTCGGCTATATAAACTGACCTTGAGCAACACTAAAATTGCTGTCAGGATCGGGAAGGACCTCTCCGAGCCGTTCGATGCCAAACGAGGTTGCAGATAAGGTTACTCCTTATCGTGTGACTTCTTTAATTTATTGCTGAACAAAATAATAACAGTGGCAGAGCTGAATAAAGAAGGTGCAGCTACTGGCTTACGCCGATGATATTGACATTGCATTGGCCACAACAACTGCGTAGGCGAGCTCTACTTTCACCAGACTGGATAAAAAAGCGAAGTGACTGGGTCTGGGAGTGAACGAGGGAAAGACTGAAACAGTTATGCCATTCGTGACTCGGCTTCCACGTCACTGTTGACAGTCATAACCTTCAAATCCATGATAACTTCGTCTATCTTGAGACCAGCCTTAACACCAATAATTAACCTTGAAATCCAATGTAGATTCACTCTTACCAACAAATGCTGCTTTGGACTGCGTAGGTAATTGAAAAGTAAAGTCCTCTTCCGAAGAACAAAAACCAAACTCTACAAATCCTTCACCGTTCGCGTCCTGCTATATAGTGCGGAAGCATGGACGATGAAAACATCTGAGGAGTCGACGTTAGGAGTTTTCGGGAGAAAGGTTTTACGTAAGATTACGGTTCTTTACGAGTTGGTAACGGAAAAAATCACAGCCGATGGAATGTATGAGATATACGGCGACTTCATACATAGTTCAACGAATCAAGAAACAGCGTCTCGCTGGCTAAGTCATGTGATCCGAATAGATGCGAATACTCCAGAAGAAAATCGGCTTAGTCCATACAGAGTCTGTAGGCTGCATTGTTAAATTGTTACATATGTACGTGTATATGGATATATGTAGTATTGTACATACAAAAACACATTTCACTGAGTTCCTTTGTGTAAAAATTCACTTTAATATTTTATTTTATTTGATTAACAAAGTGTAAATTAAAAATATTAAATGAATATAAATCCATTTCAGATTGTATATACACGTACATATTTTTTCATATATAACGGGACTTTTTCACATTATGTGCAGACTTACTCTGCTTTCTTTGCAAACAAATTTTTCAATATGCTGACAGGTAAATGAAACAAGAAAGTAAAACATCAACCTTATACATGTTCCTGTCACTGTATGATTTTTTTGTACCAACTTGCATATACACACATACATATGTATGTACGAGTATATGTGTGTGTGCAAGTGTATGCATCTCAGTGTCAAAGTCAACATGAATATGTTTATTTTTAAATCTCTCTCTCTTGCTTGTAACTCAGTTATTCACTTTTTCATCCAGTTTTGTTATGCATTTTTGGTATTTTCCATTCACAATTTTTATTTTGCCACATTCACCAACACAAACAAGTGGTATGAAAAATAAAGTGAAATTAAGGAGAAACAAAAAAAAAAATGGTGTGCAATCAAGGTTTATTCGAGATATTTTTTCATTACTCATGAAGCGTTCCTAGGAACGAACCACACATAACGGTTATGAGTACATTATGCAAGGTTACAAATGTACAATATATGTATATATAGTTATAAATACAAGCTGCAGTAGCGAATATTATTTCTCTCAGTTTTTTTCATTATTCAATTTTCATATTACATTTTATTTTCACTTTTATATTTCTATATTTAATTTTTGTTTTTGTTGTTGCATCACATATTTTTCCACATAATAATCAAGTGTGCAGCATTTAAAATCAAGTGCTGTTAGTTCATTATGACTGCTAAGCTGGTGAGAATAGTGACTCCCTCTTCACTTTACAAACACGTACATACATGTTGATGTATACCCTGCAGGGAAAAAACTAGTTGTTAACTAGATTCAAACCGTATTGAAATTTTATACCAACAAGTACAACTTCCATACATTTTCTAAATAAGGGACAGGCATTTTTAACACGGCGATACCTTGCGAGCTGTCAATTGTTGGTATATGCATCAGCTTCAAACTAGCTAAATACCAGTTCATATATATACCGATTAAAATACTGTTTAGTGCATACCAGCTCAGCACTATTTCGCCTCAGCCCAGCTTGTATTGTCTAGTCAAAGGTCAGTTTGATTGAGGCTGGAGTTCCAAACAATTGAGCCGATTTTAATGGTATTTTTTGTGTGAGTTCCGTTATATTTAAGAATAGTTTTGAAAAACTCCTTGGGATCAACTTGAAAAAAAATGCGCTTATGTTGCACTTTACTTGAAATTCTGTACAATATTTCTTGCCAGGAAGTAAATCTGATAAGGATCTATGTATCTGAAGCTTAATTAAGACTTTTCATCATTTCATCATCATTTTTAATTTGAGAAAGTATAAAAAACCACAATAATGTGTTGTTTTTATAGCGTCAAGTCTAGCTATGTATGATTGGTGCCCCTAGTTACTTATGAGTGCTGCTATTTTTTGCAAAACGGCAAACTAGTATGAATTTGTGCGCTAAATACTAGTTCATATACTAGAATTTTGGCAAATTAATCCAGAGTTTACCAAAACATACTTGTATAATTCTAATCAGTGCCAAACTGGTATATGTTTGTCCATTTAGTACTAGTAGAATTCTGGTTTACAACAAACTAGTATAATAACGTCTTCAAAATACCAGTTTTTAACCTGAATTATAGCATGCCTACCTACCTATCTACCTTTTCCCTGCTGGGTACATTGACTTGATTTTGTGTGCTATTTATTTCTGCCATAACATTGTAGGATTTCATCGTGAGTTTATAACCGTTATTTTTACATACATATATGTGTGTATAAAAGTATAAAAAGGACGAACTAAATATAACCTTTCCGAACTGGTTGTTATTGGACCACTTTTGTTATAATAAAAGATAGTTGAGTTTTGACAAATGGAGAAGGAAGTAAAGTGGTGAGTTAATAAGATGTCGGTGATAAAGAAAACGCTAAGACTCATTATGGCTGCCACCAGTGACCTAGCGAATGGCCTCGCCCATTGGTGTTTCACAACAGTGGTCAACACCTTACCTTACTTCTGGTGAAATCCAATAGATTAAACGATTGAAACAAATAAAGTAGCTCGCTGCATTCCGCATAAAGTAAAAGAACAACTCTAATTCATTATACACGAAGGGTTCCTCAATCTACCACCAGTCGTCATTACAATAGTAAGCACTACTGCGAAATTCGCTGTGAACCTACTAGAACCTTCGGACATAACTCAATAAACAAGTGAATGGTGGACAAAAGAGAACACCTATCTCCTCACTTTACGTGCATGAAGAAAATTTCAAATCACATTAAAATATATTCAGAAACGTGGGGCCAGCCAGCGCGGCTTGCAACATCTATACGGACGGCTCAAAAATGGCTGAGAGAGTGGGCGCGGGAATCTATTGCGCCAAGTTTGATCTCAGGAGACCCTTTAAGGTTTTGGTTCACTGGAATACTAACCAGGCAGGGGTGTTCACAGCTGGAAAGGTCGATTAGCTGGTCAACACTACAAAAAACTACATTGAAAATATTAAAATATATTTGTATATGTATGTATATATATGCTGATAATTACCAAGCGTTCAATATTCTTAGAAACCTAAACTTCGTGGATAAGTTGACTGAAGGTAAGAACTGCCTAGCCCGTACAATGAAATTTCTAAGAGAGCTGGAAGACGAGTTGCACATGCATTACTGACAAGATCGTATGAGTTTTGCTTACGCGGCCTTGAAAGGGCTGCTGGATAGTTACATGACTATTGGCAAGTCACATTCTACTATGGTCAAAAGAGAGTATTTAAACGTATCAGACGTCCGCGCGAACGTCTTTTCTTTGTCTATAACTTGACATATGGTTTAAATTAATGCCAAAATTGACAGAAATCGACACGAAACACACGTTGACCTATTGGCGTGACAAGATCTCGGTGGCCGTTAATGATCATGTCTTCGAGATACATATAACACGGTAGGAAAGCTTTTCCCTTAAAATATTGATGGTTTTGTTGTTTGTAGCGCCGCCTTATGACTCAACATATGGTAAACATTGTCCAAGTCAAGACCATCTTATTTCGGCGATAAAGATTCATTAAACATCTCGCCATAGCGTAATTCTGATTTTCGAAAGAGTAAGATGCTTTGAACCTGATAGACCA